GACATTTGACTGTTAAAAAACTAACACAATATACGCTAAGTGCAGTGACCATCGTGTTTGTGTGCCAGTCAGTGCCGTGAACTTTTGATTTTGTGTAACGTTCTAGCACGGCGGGCGGCATGGCAAGTTCGGCTGATGCATTACTCGCACGCCAGGAAAACCTTCAAAACGCTATAAAAAATGCTTTGGCAAACCTTACTAAGTTGGGCACAGCAAATTATTCTAACGCCGTTATCACAGTTCGTATGAATAGCCTGGATACGAATTGGAAGGAATTCAAAAACAATCATCTTACTCTTCTTAGCCTACAAGAAAATCTAAGCGAGCAGGATTATATCAAAAACGATGTCTACGCAAAAACCGAGGAATTTTATCTGACTGCCCTTGCCACTATGCTGTCGCTTCTCGAGACCTATCCTGCGCCGATACTTCCGACTGCCGCATCGTCTTCTCAAGCTCCGTCAGCACCTACGTCATTTTCACGCAAACTGCCCGAGATCAAGTTGCCGACCTTCACGGTTGACTACAAGTTGTGGCCAGAGTTTCGTGACTTGTTTATTGCTGGCGTTTCTTCCAGCTCGTTATTAAACAACGTTGAAAAGTTATTCTATTTAAAATCGAGTCTGGCTGGAGACGCAGCTGAGCTCGTCCGCGGCATCTCTCTCGAGGGTGACAATTTTCAACGGACTTGGAACGCGCTGAAGGATGCATTTAAGGTGCCACGCGTTCAAGTTGATGCACTATTAAAAGGCTTCTTCTTGATGAAGTGTGTCAGTGGTGAGGATGCGGCAGACCTCCGTCGGATCCTTTCAACCACCAAAAATCTTGTCGAAGGCCTTAAAAATCTTAAACGGCCAACAATTTCAGACGACGTCTTAGTTCATATCCTTGCAAATAAACTGGACGCCGTAACACGTCGCGATTGAAAAAAATCGATCGGAACTTCGAGAGAGCCGGCTGCATTCAGTCAGCTGACTGAGTTTCTCGAGGGACGCATTCTGACGCTGTCAAGCGTAGCCTCGAGCAACGGGAAAAGGCAGCGGTAAATAGGCATGCATGCGCACCAGGCATCATACAGATTGAAGGTGCCGGTATGTTCTCTCTGCTTCTTGCGTCATCAGCTGTGAACTTGCGAAGCCTTCAAAGCAAGGAATCCAATGCAAAGGAGGGAATTTGTGCTTGAGAAGCAGTTATGTGAGAACTGCTTGGGCTCTCACGAAGTTTCAACCTGTCGCTCCGGGAGGACTTGCTTTATTTGTGGAACTAAGCACCACACGTCTATACACGTTGACGCCTCAACAAACACCCATGTAGCTGTAGTCTCTGCAAATTCTTCTGTGCCGATTCGATGCAACGAGCCTCTCAACGTTTTGGTAAGCAGAACAACATCTTTTGTGCCAACATTGCTACCCACAGCATGGGTCAGTCTGGTGGGGGCAGATGGCCAGGAACATTGTGTTCAAGCGTTGATCGATCAAGAATCATAGTCATCATCATCATACCGACGGATGGCCTCATCTACGCGACCTGCAGCTTGCCGACCGTTTGGATTCACCATCTAGTGAACCAATTGAACTGCTACTAGGCGTTGCAGTGTACGCCCAAATAATACGACCAGGTCTTCATCAACCTCAGCGTCCCGATGCACCCATCGCACAGCAGACTGCATTAGGTTGGATTTTATCCGGGCAGATCGGGCCATCTAAGCTGCCATCAACTCTATCATCGAATTTTGCCAGAACATCGACGCATCATAATTTTATTTTTTCATATTAAAATGGCGGGCGGTATGTTCACGCCAATCGTGAACTTTTAATTTTCTCTCTTCCTTTTCTAATTTTCTTTAGCACAATACGTTAAATGCAATAGTTATATTTCCTAGAATTGTAATAGCTTTATCTTTGCTTCATCATCTAAAAAGTAACACTTATCAATTTTATAACTTTCACTTTACATTTATACATACTTTAATTTCAGAACTTATATTTTCTTATCTTATCTCTTTTTCTACTCTGACTCATATAACGACTACAGTGTATATTTGTATAGTTAACTTTAGTTATTCTCTCTGCTATTGTTGTAATAGATCAGATACGTCTCAACAAGCAAAGAGCCAACATCAATTGCGCTCTGAGCTCCACTAACCGCTATTGTAAATACATACGCTATTGAATAAACGCTATTTAAACTACTACCACTCAACAGTTTATTGATCCTCAGTAATTCCCGAACAATCGATATTAAGATAACCGCATTCGTCAAGCATTTTTTCTTGAACGTAACATCGATTTTAATGCTGCTTTGATCTCAATAATTTTTCAGCTTCATTTTTGTTTACTTAAGAGTGAATATAATACGCTGGCTCCTCTGTACAGCTAGCCTTTGTCATGAGAAGGACGGACTTTGACGCTTGGTGCGTGAGTTTTCCCCACAACTCATAATTACGCACCACGACAATTAAAAGCTCTGGTGCCTGGTACAAGTTCTGCTCTAGCTCTCTAGCCTTCAGAACTTCGAAGTGACAAGATGTTCCCGCAAAGCAGTCCCTCTTTCGTTTAAAAGTTCAACGGCAACTTCTTGACACCTGGCGCCGGTGTCGTACCTTTTTTTCAGCAGACTCAGAGAAGACAGTCTTCCGTTGTTGTAACGTATAACTATTGTTATAGCGTTTTTTTTTACTTTAAGTACTCAGCAAACGAGGCATAAAAATTCTGTTTTTCTTTACTGCCCGATCGACTTGCTCAATCGTCGTCTCGGTGCAGACATCATTTGATGTATCATTTACTTGTATGTATTTCTTTCGCGAGCCTTCCTAGTATTTTCTCTTTGTAAAACCAGTAGCATTTCTTTGGTGACTAAAAGTTTATTGAATTTTAAAAGAAATTCTTTTCGTTGTCAAAGTGAGTTCGTTGTGAGTGTTTCTAGTAGTAGTCGCTGCATGCAAAGTGCCATTTTTTTTTCTTATAACCATCTTAATTACCTCGTATCAAGATTACAAAATTTTCACGTCGCATTTTAATTCAACCAGCAAGGTCGAATTCTTTCTCACCTGGGCTTTTCCATTCGAGGCTTACGAATTTTCTCGAACCACGAGAAAAGACCAGCAAACACAAACAATTTTTTTGACGCCTAAATTGCATTCTTTAAATGCATTTTGAGTTTTCCTTCTAATTTACCCTTTTGCATTTTTTTGGCATAGTTAAGACTTGTGTTAGCCCTAATGGCTATTTTTTTTAACTTTATAAGTATGTAACATATTTGGTGGCAAAGAAGTTCAACGTCCGATGACTGGTAAGCTTCTTAAGTAAACTCTTTCTTGACTAAAGTTTTTAGCAAACGTGATTGCCTCTATACCTCAGTATCATCTTCTCTTGCCTGTTATTGTAGCACCACACTGATCGGGAGAAAAACCACAACGTTTGAAGCGTTGGAGCTAGTTGAACGGCTCTTTCCCAACATTTTCTTGTGTTACGATAAAGACGTTGGTGTCAAAAGCACATTCTTTTTTTGCAGACTCAGTTGTTTTGGTGATCTTAGGTGGGGAGATTGGTTCGTGATGCTTGCCATTGGAGACTGTCCCGTTTGTTCAAGTTTGTTTTGCCTTAATAGCTGTTAGGTTTTCCCAGCGCAAACCTTGGAGAGTATCGATGGTTCCTAATTGAATGCTGAGACTTAATTGGGTAAGGTAGGGTCAACAGTCACCAGAGTTCCCAGCCTTGCGACGAACAACTTCGTTCATGACGTGTACCAGTGAATGACTGCCTTGGTTTAATAGTGGCTAGCTTTATATAGTCTTTTAGTCGACGAATCGTTTTCAGAAATGCCAGTAAAAATGTGTTTGTTGGTAAGGTAGTTAAAACTTAGGTGGCCCTTAATAGAACTAATGAGATCGATGGTTGAGTAGAAAACGTAAATACTAACAGTGGCTCTAAAAAGGGCCAGTGGTGAAATTTCCAGTTACTCCTTATGATTATTTCAGATGATAGAGAGCCAACTGCGGATAGCTTGACTTTCATCCTTTGGAGTCTCTGTGTATGTAAATTGTACTGGAGGCAGGTATGCCACTGACCAAAGAATATCTCGTCTTCAGGTCGTTCTCTGGATAGCTATGCCTAGTAGGTATGCCATTGGGACGACCACTAAGAAGGAGGTCATGGAGACAACTAGTACTCTTCAAGGCTGTCTTCTCTGGCTTGAATTTGCAGTAGAAAATTCTCCGACGGCTCAAGGCCGGATGGTTGAACAGTCACAGAACTCTAAAGTGTTGGAGTAAGTTGTACTCTGGCAAGTCAAATCTTTTGGTACCCCCCTAGAGACAATAACGTTCCAAGCGCTTTTTTTACAGTGGCACTTGTTTGTCTTGGCGATCCAGGGTGAAAACCGATTCATTCTTCTTGTACATAAAAGAAGAGTATCATCGGTAGCCGAAATGACCAGCTGCACAACTAACAACTTTGTTTATGGTGTACTGTCGATGAACGACTACGATAATCGACAACCTGATAGGGCATCTTGTAACCAATTTCCACTATATTTAATTGCCACAGGCTTCAATTATACCTTGACGCTACCTAGTGGATCCTACTGAACTAAAGCACAAAGCTAGCTTATTTTAGAAAAACTTTGAGCTTATTTATCGGTATTGATATTAACTTTTTTAACAAAAAAACTATTTAAAAACTATTTCGGGATCATCAACAATCAAAATTTCAGCAAAATAGGTTCAGTAATTTTTGTGGTTTGTGATTACAACGGCTTAAGCAGCTTTACTTTAAACATTAGTACAACAATTTTAACAGCAACTTGTACTTGATGCAAGATCTGTGAGTTCCGCAAATTTAACCATCAATTACTTCGTAATTATTGCACCATGACCGTACTAGTGACAATTAAGGGTACAGAGGTTAAGCTCTGATTGGTCGTTCAGATCCTTAATTTGACTTGTCCTTCTCTAACGCAAAAGTATAAGAACTCTCTGCACATAACAATTTTTGCCTTTTCTATTTTATTAAGTTCTTTGTAGTAAGTATAAAAGTTAGGGAGTAAGTTCTGTTGCGTCTTCTAAGCGTATGTGAGATTTAGTTCTGTGATTAAGCTACGTGTTTGAAGCGAGCATTTTAAGCAAATGTAAGACTTATTTCGGTGACTAAGCTGTGTAAGAAAAGCTCAAGGAAACCAGGGCACTGTACACTCGCCTAAAAAGTGAAACAAGGAGAAACAAGAAAGGAAGAACCGTTGACTTGGGTTCTGATGTTAAAAGTATCAACCTTATTATTGTTTTCGCAACGAGTACTCTCGTGCAGCATTAGGATTATCGTTGCGGTCAATCTTCTAAGATATTGCCACTGCGTGCGCGCAAGCAGCTGCTAACTAACGATCATAGAAGTAAGTTAAGTTAAGAAAACTGTAAAATATTTAAACATCACGAATTTGAATCTGAACTTTATAATTCATATTATTTATAAAATCATCTATTTGCGGCTTTTCTAAATTCACTAAACCATCAGATAAGACAAAACTGAGTTGTTGATTAACTTAACTTTCTAAGCTTAAGAATATCCTAATTACCTAATTTTATGAAATATTCCTCGTTCTAAAATTCTAATTGATAGGAACATAATTTTTACTTGAATATTAAATTAAACATCGAGAAAAAATTAAATAGACAACGTATAATAAAAACCTTTACAAGGACGTAAGATAACAAGACGAATAAGATGCGATACTATTGCATTACATAAAATAGAAATTCAAGCAGAAGGTCAATGCCAGCTCGCGTACAACACACTTACACCACTTAGTACAAGTTTCTTAGCGAAACCTTACACCACAACGCTGAGTCAACGATTTAAAATTAAAGTATACTGCAAGTAAAAGCAAAAAGGCCTTCGGGCCGACGGCTGGTTCTGGACGAGTAAAAATTAAATATATTTTTTCGTTGAACAAATCTACGAGTTTCACCCTTCACTTAATAGAAGTTAAGATGTTGCAAATTGGCACCCCTGGTGAGAAACCAAGCCCTTAGTTTTATTTAGAGATTGCTTCAACAAAATCAAAGTTTCTCTCCATTTTTTTTTTTTTTTTTTTTTTTTATGTGAAACATCTATAGGTGTGCGTGAGCGTGGTGAGTCAACGTGAGTGATGCGTGGTAACCGTAACGAGAAAGCGTTACGAAAAACATATAGAAATACATTGCATACATAGTATGCTGTACAGACAAGTGTGCGAATGAGAGAGTAAAAGGAGTAGAAGAACACGGCCAATTTCCGGTTAAACTCGGCTCGGTTCGGCTCTCGGTCTCTTCGTCTACGTGCTTCCTGCTGCTGCTTTTCTCTCGTTTTACTACCCGTATTATTATAGCTATATAGAAAAATATATAATAATTAAACATTATACATGTATTGTATTATACTGCTTATACATATAGGTACGTATTTGTATATATGTATTTATACATACTTCTACGTATATATACTTTTATAGCTACAACATATACTTCTATACAGTATGATTAGTACAGTTTAATTCGAAAAAAGCTATACGTATAAAACAATATAGTTGTAGTTCTCGTATATCCGTATTTAT